TGGGCCGCCCACACTGTCGCCAATGTCACGTCTGGGGTAATGTTAGTCTCGAAAAAATTGTTGAGCTCGGTTTTGAGCTGGGTTGCTATAGACTGATCTTTCAGGAGGGAAGCGTTAAGTCTCCACGTCCATGGGGTCGCCTCGCTCAATCTCCCCAATGTCAATGAGACGTCAGCGTGACATGTCCTATGTCCGTGCTAGTTATTCGTGGTAGGCTCTTGTCGTTTACTAGGAACATGTCTATTCGGGAATAGGAACTATGAGGGGTCGAAAAGAAAGTGTAATCCCGTGTGCCCGGATGATGTGCTCTCCACGAGTCCACCAACCCCGTCTCCGCAATGAAACGTTGTAGCAGCTTATCCTGGCTCCCTCTACCATGGGACCGCTGAGTGCCGCTACCTGCCCTCCTGTCTATTGCCGGACTAGGCGTGGCGTTTAAATCTCCCCCGACTATGATCATCCCGTGGGGCAGGGTTTGGAGCTTAGTCTGTAGCACCTCCCAGAAAGCTGCATCTGGGTGATTTGGTGCGTATAAATTAAGAAAATGGACATGGTGAGATAGCAAGGTGCCAGACACGAGTATATATCTGCCCTCCGGGTCAGAGTCGGTGGATACGATCTTGACAAAGCAACTGTTGCGTATAAGGATCGCCACTCCATTACGTTTGCGCAATGCCCTGGCCTCAAAAGTTGAGCTATAAGAGGGGTCCTTTAGCCTAAATTTAGCCTGTCTTGGTAGGTGCGTCTCTTGTATAAAGGCTATGTCAGTACCCATCCTTTTGAGTTCTTTAAATAGTAGCCGTCGTTTAGTTGGGGAGTTTAGGCCCTTGACATTTAGTGATGTGAGTTTGGCCGTCATGAGGCCTCTTCACGTTGCCAGCTACAGCTCGCGCCCACCTCTGCTCTCGCCGCGCCCCTTATGATCATGTTTCCTCGCTGCCCCCTTGGGATGGGATGTGAGAAAAAAAGGAAAAATATAGAGAGGAAGAAAGATGAAGACAGGTGAGAGGGAAGGGGAAGAAATAAGAAACGGCATGATGCACCTCCTGTGCACCCCTTATATTGTCTGGTCTTACTCTCCGCCAGACTTTCGTGGGGGTCAAGATCCCGTCTCTCATCCACCTCCAGTGTTTGGAAGAGAAACTGGTTCATGAGCCCTCCCCTTTTACGCGCTGTTGTGCTAACGTGTTTAAAGCGACAGCTGCCAAATAAACACCAACCTAGACAATGAACAACATAGATTATGAACAGACATGAATGCAAAATGACAACATTGTTTCCGGGGGTAACTTGTGCCCGGCTCCAACCTCTCGGGGGGTATCAAAAATGGCGACAGTGGTTGAGTAGGTATCTATGTGATATTCTAACTTGCCAGTAATCTAGCCTTGCCATGAGTCTGCCTCCTGGGATGGGGCTCTCGGGCTCTAGATCAGGATAGGGCCACTTTCCCACCATTCCGACTCTCCCGTCAGGGGGGGGACTCTATGACGCATGTTGGTAAGGGGTAGTATGTAAATAAAATAGTCCATTTTAGAATGGTTTGACTTTGTATCTTGTGTCCACTGGTGTCGCCACCTCCTCTCTGCAGTGCATGAGCTAGTTCACTGGTTGAGAGCATCACCTGCAGCACAAAGCCTAGGTCAGACTGAAGGCTATAGTGGATTTTGGAGGGGGCGCTTGGATACTCCTGGAACCATAACTACTACAGCACTCTTTAGAGCCGGGGTGCCCAAAAGGTAGATCCCCAGATGTCTTAAAACTACAGCTTCCATGATGCTTTGCATGCCTTTAAAATGATAAAGCATCATGGAAGCTGTAGTTCTACAAAATCTGGGGACCTACCTTTTGGGCACCCTTGTTTAGAGGGCAATGTTTATTTAAGGTGTATGGCAAGCAGCAGGTATGGATCTATCTTGGGAAAGAGATGGAGCCCTAATGTAGTAAAGGGAATTTAAAAGTCCCTAGGTGTGTTTATAATTTTGGCAGAGAGTTACATTTTCAACTACATAGTTACATAGCTGAAAGAGACTTGGGTCCATCAAGTTCAGCCTTCATCACATTTGTTTTTTGCTGTTGATCCAAAAGAAGGCAAAAAAAAAAAAAAACAGTTTGAAGCACAAATTTGCAACAAGCTGGAAAAAAAAATTCCTTCTTGACCCCAGAATGGCAGCCAGATTTATCCTTGGATCTAGCAATTATTACCCTACATTGAAAGATTATATCCTTGAATATTCTGTTTTTGCAAGTATGCATCTAGTAGCTGTTTGAACATCTGTATGGACTCTGATAAAACCACATCCTTATTGTTCTTACAGTAAAAAAAAACCTTTCCTTTGCCTTAGACGAAATCGTCTTTCTTCCAGTCTAAATGCATGCCTCGTGTCCTATGTTACATAGACGTTTGAGCTGAATATTTAAATAAAACACTTGCACAGGTGTACTTTGTATTATTATAACTTGTCTTCGATGAAAGAGAAGATACAATTTTAAAAAGTCTCCCATAATTCTATTACAGCCATAATGCTGGCAAACTATCAAGATTCATGTAGTCCATAATATCTGGAGTGCCGGAGGTTGCCTAAATGTACTCTAAAGGCTTTTATTCAATACATAGTTGTCTGGGTTCAAAAAAAGACTAAAGTCCATTGAGTTTAACCATGAAGCCCATTATTTTATGCTGCTGATCCAAAAGAAGGCAAAACAAAAAATTGTAGCCATTTCCAATAATGCCACAAAAAGGGTAAAAACCCACCTACGCTGAAGGCCACCAGTGGTTCGCCCCCGAAGCATCGCCCACACAGACGGCAGACCACCGGCACACGGCAGCAACAGACCATCAGCGCCCCCATCTATAACCATCTTGGGAGGGACTTGGACTGTTGCATATCCCGAGTCCGTGGGAAGAATATGTCGGCCTCCATACAAGTCTGGGGCTGGGGGGAGGCCTCCTTTCACTCCCTACACCAGGGATGTATTTGCCGGCGGCGGCAAAAATACCTTGTTTGCCTCGATTTATGGGAGCCCAAGAGCTGACCAGCTGGCCACCTTTGGGCTCCACCGGGGCAGCAGGCGGGTGGTGGTTTCTTGGGCAGGCGGCGAGGGAGCACTTTCCCCTGAGCTCTCTGCTCAGTTCCCTCACGTGACCCGCAGTAATGCTGTGAGCTGGAATAGGACGTCATATTCCAGCTCCCGGCATCACTCTGCGGTGCGCGAGGGAGCTGAGCAGAGAGAGCTCAGGCGAAAGTGCTCCCTCGCTGAAATCCTAGGGCGCCCGCCAGCCTGCCTGCACATTCGTCCGCCTCCCTGCCCAGCAGACCCACTGGACCCCTGGTGACAAATCCACCCAGCTATCCCAAAAGTAGGGAGGCTGGGTGGATTTCAATTTAAAAAAAATAAAAAATTTATATTGAGTGGGGGAAATGTATGTGAGTGTGTGTCAGTGAATGTGAGTGTGTGTGTCAGTGAATTTGAGTGATTGTGTCTGTCAGTGAATGTGTGTCCGAGTAAGTGTATGTCTGTCTATCAGTGTGTCAAATCAGTGAGTGTGTATGACATTGTTTGTCAGTGTATAAGAGAGTGTGTATGCGTGCGTCTGTCAGTGAGTGAGCGTCTGTCAGTCAAAGTGCGGCCTTGACAGGAAGGGGTGAGGAAAATTTTAATTAGAGGGGGGTGCCCGAGCACTGTCCTGCCTAGAGCAGCACAAATTCTAAATACACCACTGCCCTACACACAGCTGCCTTCATAGACTTTTTTTGTTGGGACACCCGGTCTCCCATGCCTGGGCATCGGCTGACTCTGGACCTCTCATAATATGTGGTCCTACCACACGCTAGAGATGTCACCCTGCCATTAGCAGACACCATCTTGCCCATATCAGACCTCACACAGCTTCCATCTACAGATTGTTGTGTTCCGTTTTATTCCTTATTTCTTCTCGTCTGTTCATGCTTTATTTATTTATTCATTTATTTATGTTAAAGTGGTGCAGGCGCATACCGCATTTAGTGCATTTAGCATGCTAACTCAGTGATTTATTATTCTCATGTCAGGGAAAACCTACGAGATAGCGAGTACTACCACCTACGATATTGTTCACATGTATTCCTAGTTTTAGCAGGTTAAACTCATGATATTACTATCCTACATTATTTAAAAAAAATTTTTTAAAAACCTGATGCCGTCTCATGCTGGAGTTTCAGTGCTATTGTATTTTCATTTAGTATATGCCATGTGTGTCTCTGCTACAACTCCCTTTTCTTTCTTATGTACCATTTTCCTATTGCCTCAAATAAAAAGAGATTGAAAAAAAAATATATATATATCTTACTTGACTCCATAATGACAATCAGATTTCTCCTTGGCTCAACAACCTATTTACATACACATCAATTATGTCCTTGAATATTCTGTTTATGCAAAAAAGTATCCAAGCCTTTTTTCAATTTATCTAGAAAAAATCTGATAACACAACCTCTTCAGGCAGAGAGTTCTTACTGTAAATAACCCTTTCCTCTGCTGTAAGTGAAAACGCCTTTTTTCCAGTCTCAATGGGCGACCTCTTGTCTGTTGTATATTCCTGCTAATGACTGTTTGTACAGACCGTGTGTGTGTGTGTGTGTGTGTATGTGTGTATATATATATATATAATATTTGTATAGTGCTATTATACCAATAAGCAACGAATGGCAGAAAATGAATACCAAATTGCAAAATTAAAACAGCCAAGCTGAGACTAGCTAAGTAAGAAATTTTTTCCAAATCAAATATTTTTTGCAATTTTTTATTCACTGTTAAGTGAATAAATTCCTAAAACCAGGAGGGGCAGAGCCTAATGATCAAGATGGCTGGACATATTTCTGCTGAGCTCCGGCTATCTACACTCCAAAATATGGCTAAACTGCCCATCCATGACGCTGGAAACCTCCTGTTGAAGCTAAGGGCCAACATTAATTGCCTGCACAGACTTCACCTTTAATAAGTCTGATCGCACGGGCTCTCACCTAGATTAAATCCAGCGGCCTAGTGAGCCTGGCGACTGGTGGAGGCGGTTGATCCTCCACGTTGTGTAGTGTTAATCTTTGAAGTCTCTCTCCAGCTACGTTCGCGCTCTGGACTGATTGGGAATATCCCAGTCCCCACCAGGAAACGCTACAACTCTTTATAGGCAAACGACTTTCACTCACATTGCTCTCAAAATCCGTGTGGCATTTCAAAGATGGCCACCACTCCAACTGAACATCTGCCCCACTGGGAATCCAAGTTCCTTGCTGCCTTTGAATCCTTGTGTGGCCTTTTGGAATGGGATCGAGTCCCACAAGCAGCGGAACACACACCTCAGCCATAGCTGTGGAGGCTTCCAGCAGCACCCCAACACCCTGTTTCTCTTTTAGGCACTGAGAGACACTGTGGTTCTGCCACACTGGGAGTCCTACAGGACCTACCGCAGGAATCGGAGAATGAGTACGGGCACTGGCATGTCAGCCGGCCTAGGCATGGAGAGAGGAGAAGTTTCTGTGTCATCATGCTAACCCTGGTAATTGGGAGGGTTCCTACACATGGCAGGGAAACCGTGCAGGACTCACATGGCTACTTTTGCATGTCAGTGGTCCAGGTTCCCTACTACTATACAATTGTGGCATCTGCTGAAGCATGGCCTTTGGCTCATTTCGAGCCTGTCTGCACAGTTTAGCATTTAATGGTGATCTTTTACTACCTTGTTTTGCCTCACTATTTCACCATCTACTAATCCCTCACGTATCTACTACTACTCTGACATATACCTGCTGTTCTGACTGGTGGGCCTTTCCCAGTTTGTATATCCACTCATAGTTTATGCTTGCTAATTGTCAGGGTCTTACCTGAGGTGAGAGTCCGGTAGGCAGAGATTTGTGCTCACCCTTGCAGATAACCACAGTCCAAGGTGATAAGGTTAGAAACCACGAGGACTGTGAATCTGTGCATGGGGCCTGTGCATGAAAGGCACTCCAAATCGCCGTACAGACAAGGACACAAACAGAAGGATTGTCAAGGATAAGCCAAAGGACAAGTTTCAGGAGACAAAACAGGAACAACACACAATCACCAGAATCAAAGAACTGACAAAGTTTCCAGTGCAGTACAGTGTTTAAATACCTGGTTGATTAGCGATCTGCCTCAGGTGAAGCACAGGTATCAGCCACAGATGGAGTCTAGCCCCCTAGTGCTGCAGATAAAGCCAGGAATTACAAAGATAGAACATATTCCAAAGAACAGAATCTACTGTGGCTTAGAGGCAGTATAGCAGGCCCAGGACATGGAAGGAAACAGGTTCATATCCCCTGTTTGGCACTTCTGGGGCAAACACATCTGGATGTCATGGTGAGAACTGTGATACTAATACACCATGTTATGGTGTTTAACCAACCAGAAAGTATGTAAATCATTATTCTAGATCACTCATTCTATGACATTTTGTTGCTTCTTCTCACAAAAAAAAAGCACAGCACCTCTTGACCTCTCATGTTTATCTATTGTTATTTTATCTCACGTCATCTGTCGTTTCTGGAGCATGTATTTCTCATTGCACTTCAAAAATAAAGAAGAAAAAAAAAATCTAAAAATAAAAATCCTAAATTCAAATGGTGAAAAACTTGCAATACAAAAAAATTCCTCTAAATTATGGGAGCTGTAGTCCACCGACTCCTGGAGAGACAAAGATGGATGACAGCTACTGTATGAAAACATACAAATCTCAAGCTGGATTTGCAGTTCTTTCTGAGCAGTGGAAGAGTTAAAACCTCCTGTGCTGCCGGTTTAAAGCCTCTGCTACCTTAAAAGGCGTTAAAAGCGCAGCTTGTTTAAACCATTTAAACCGCGGACGCTTGTATCGATGTACATTTACTCACAAACAACTACAACATTTGAATCTCGGGTGTGGGGGAAACACAAGCCTATCTAGATAAATATTTTCAAGACACCCCATTTCCTAATCCAGGAGAAGACAAACAGAGCCCCTGAACAAAGTTACTTTCAATTTCAGTTTAATATGAAATTAACCAACATGCTCTTTCCTGAACTAGAACACGCCGTCCGATTAACCCCTTATTTTATTCTTCTAGAATAGATTGTAAGCTACACAACATCTGGAGTGCCGAAGGTTGCCTACCGGTTGCCACATATCCTCACAACAATCGGTTCCTTAAGAATTGTATCCATTTATCAGCAACACGCTAAGTGGAACAGGACAATCTATGCCGACATAAAGAACTTGAGAGTGGTAGATGTGAGAGAGGGTTAGGGAAGGAAAATATGGAGAGATGGAATGGAAGTAACAACAGAAGGTAAGGAGAAGAGACTATGGGGAGATGGAGTAGAAGAAATGAAGGAGGGCAAGAGGAAGAAAATTGGAGATGGGGCTCTCAATTCATTTTTCTTCAGAAAAAGTGAGGTTCAAACCCTTTAAGGACACATGATGGAAATTTCCGTCATGCTGGACTTGTACATCTGAAGCTGTGTTCTTAATGGTTTAAGCCTGTTCTTGACGTAGAAATGTATTTAATCTGTATAAAATGGGAGCCTCCATGGCCCAGGGGTGCATATTTATAAAAGCAGCGTTGCAAACTCACGTTTTGTATATACACAGATCATGCTAAGTATTTCGGTGGTCTACCATGCAGGGTATATTGGAAGTAGGGATCTGAGAGAGACAGGTCCTGATAAATAATGGACGGACCACCTTTCTGATCTGCAAACTGCAGGCTTTCTATAAGCTCGCGACACCTGCAATGCAGTGTACTTCTCCCAGCTCCACTGCATCTCTTACCTTACCCAGAGGGGATGCTGTGCTATGCTACAGGTAACAACGAAGATGGAATTGTGAAAACCAAGTACCAGTAATGGACAGCCCTACAAATACACTTATTGGTCTGGGAGTGGGAATAAAATATACTAATCCTGCTTTATATTAATCTTATTTCTGTTAGTCTGCTCTTACTTTTACTAATCACAGACCAATACAGATTGCACAAATATGTTCTGGGTTGGTGGTTATCCCCCAAAGCTAGAAATAAATCATGCTAATCTGATATACCTGTAGCGCCGCCTCCCCCTTAACCTTTTTTAGTTTAATCGGACATACTGACTACATTTCCAAGATGAGGCATAAAGAAATACTGCAAACATTTAAAAAAAAAAAAATAGAAGAAAATTTAGATGTGCGCAGACACAGATAATGAAAAAAAAAAAAAAAACATTGATACATACTTGCAGACAAACACAAACAAAGAAACACACACACTGGGACAAAATCTGTTGAAAATAACTGAATTCCGACCACAATTGGCAGAGTTACGAAAGCCAAATATGGTCTGACTGATTCTGTAACATTCGTTTTGAAGTGTTTGAAAAATCTGTAATTTTTGCATCCGAACAAATTTACAGCTCCGGAATGACTGGCAATGATAATCCGAAGGCATGCAGTAGGAGGCACGATCACAAATGATCATTCAAAAGTAGGCAAGTAGTTAAAATCTCTTATCGGCGCAATAATTAATTACATGGAAGTAGTATTAAAAGTAAAACATTTAAAAAAAAAAAAATCTAATCTTATGTCGGTCAATAAACCCCCCATATGACTTTCATGGAAGTATAAGCCCCCACAAGTCTTGCAAATTAACCTGTGAAATAACAGTGGGTGGGGGCTACTTTATAACTTATTAGGGGAGAACCTCGTGGCAGGTGGGAGCATATAGAGGTTATAGTAATATTTTATAAATATATATATATTTTTTTTACTATTTTAACGTGGAGACTGTATCAGTCAGGTACTTGTCAGGTGCCACGTAAGTAACCCTCGCACTGTTTTAACATTTTCTCGCTGTCTGTTAGTGTTGCCAGCAAACAAATTGTTGTTTTTTTTGTTTTTTTAAAACTCTTTATTTTCAGTGCAAGAATTAAAGCATATGCTTTGAAATGCCATGACAGCCATGACAAAGTGTTCAATATTCCAACTTGATACATATATAAGTATAGTGAAATACAGTTTGCACCTTTTTATGTGTTTTGGTCGGTCTGATATGTGGTAACGAAAAGTGTTGAATCATTATTGAGCGTGAGAAACACTCTGAGGTCGCCGACAACACTGCGGGGGTCTGGTGTTGGTAAGGCTAGGTGGACAAAGGGTCTAGCGGGGTTGACCTTGATATTTATGACTGTCTCTTCCACTGTGGTATTTCTGTGGTTAGCACCCCATGGTTTGAGAGTGGTTGACCACCTGTGTCTCGGGGGTAGTCGCTTAGAGTTGCGTTGCCTAGTATCTAGTGCTGAAGAAATGTGTGGATGGGCTAGGTGAGGTGCTAGTGCCTGTGTCATGTAAAGCACAGCTAATTTGTTCAGGTCTTAGAGTGATGGAGCTTGTGTATGCGTGTGCGGTCTGGCTAGGTTATCGGCTGAATTGCTGTGGTACCAATGGACAGACCGATGTTGTGCTTGTAGCAGGGAAGCTCCAATGATTGTGATGCCACTGTACCTTGGGGTCAAGGGGGCGGGGGAGGGAAAGGTTGTGCACCGGAGCACAGAGATGTGTTCTCTGGACGCCTCACTCACGTCCTATTGACCATGTATTAGGCTTTATTAGCTGGCCCACAAGAGGTAGGCAGAACTAGAGATACTTGAAAAAAAGAATAAAATCAAACAATTTGCATAACATAAAGAGTCCCAACAGACAAAGGAAATATAGTAGCGGTGAGCTAGTAGTTAAGTTGTGGCGCCTCGTTTCCATCTGGGTGTGGAGACATCTAAGCCCTCTGTGTTCTGTGGTTGAGGGCGAGGGGTTACGGCCGTGGGTTGGTTAGACAGTCCCAATGTAGACAATAGGGCTCGGCCTTTCTTGGGGTCTGAGGCCTTGTAGTTCTGTCCCTCCTTGGAGACCCAGCGGGTCTGTGCTGTCGCCCACCTGTTGGTAATCCCTGCTTCCTGCAGTTGTGCGGTGAGTGGCCGCATTGTTTTACGCTAAAGGAGTGTGTCTCTACTTAAGTCCTGGAAGAGGGATAGTTGGCATGTCTCAAAATCATATGAGGTCTTCCCTCAGAATGCAGCCAGTAGTCCCAGCTTGTCTGTCATTGTGCAGCAGCGTAAGATGAGGTCACATGGCGCCAAAGTGGGCGCCTGTGGCGACTTGGCGATTCTGTATACTCCGTCAAAGAAAAACTATTTGGCCTGCTTGGGTTGAGTTGTCTGGAAAGTGTGGCCTGTGCTGTTTGTAGCTGTTGGAGTGTTTCCCTTAGAGCAAGATGGTCTTGTTTTAGGTCGGCAAGGTCTGTCTCAGTAGCCTGAGTGCCTGCTGCCACAGCCTGTACTGTGGTGGTTAAAACATCTAGGTCAGCCTCCCACATCTGCTTCAAATTTTGAGCAGGCCTGCGAGCATATTTTGTATGTTAATTTTAGAGGCCGAGTTGTGGTCTCCAAGCGAGTTCATCAGTACCGGGTGAGAAATGTAGGGGGGGCTGCCTGGGTGGTCCTCGTCTTCCGTGGATGCTGGGGAGGCCGAAAGCGGGGTGGCGGGGCCTGTTGTGAGGGGGG